ATATAGACATTAAAACATACCAACAAGCTCACCAAAAAATATATAAAATTTAAAAAATTTATATTATTATTTTCTCATATTCATCACAAATTACATATTTTTATAAAAACAAAACGTAATTTTATTAAAAACACAAATTTTTTTTAAGAAGCCTAAAATCGAGCCAAAGAACACAAAAACTTTAGAGTCAAAATCAACCTCAAATCTTTCATTTTTTGAACAAATTGACGAGGAGATATGATAGATACTTCAATTAAGATTCAAATGCTCCAAATTTCATGAAAATTTATTCACTATTGAGATCTTTATTCAAAAAATTGCGGATTTTTCATATCACGAAAATTTCAGGAAAAAACATAGCAAAAAAATCCATATAAAAACATTTAATCAATAGTAAATCAAAATAACTAGTTTATTTGATAGATAAGCCCTTTATGATCAAACTTCAGTGATCAATTCGATAAAAATTGATCAACTGATCGATCAGAAATCAATTTGTTTGGATAAAAACAGTTCTTCGAGCAGCAATACTTGGGCCCAAAAAGTCTTCATTGTTTTGGAAAAATTGAAATATGTAACGTTGAATCCTTCAACAATCAATCAAAGCCCTCCATTTTTATGAAAATATATGAGGTATTAAAACTGCATTTGATAGAATGGCGAAAATTTCTAATTTTCAAAAATCCCTATTTCAATCTGCCAAAAACTCTTTGTTTTTCGACTTTTGATTCAATAATCGATTGGTGTATAACATCAATATTTGACCCAAAAAACAAAAAACAAAAAAACAAAATAGAAGAAAAAAAAGCTGCAAAATCTTGTTATGTGAAAAATAACGGGTCTATGTCAAATAACGGCCGTTATTTGATGTGTTAAAATGGCATTATAAAGGACTAAACAACAGCAAATCGGATCGGTTAGGGAAACCAGTTGGATTTGAAGAAAAACCGCTTGTTCGACATTGAACGGCCGGTTTTGGTCCCAATTCTTTTTGAAAAGTGCCGTCTTACCTGGTGTACCTTAAAACCGGCCCTAACCGAAATCGCGACCCCACCGATAGCGATCTAACCGGCTGGGTTCAATTCTAACTGGCCGATTTTACGAACAGTGGTGTCTACCATGTATATTCTACTGGAAATAAGCGGTATCCCCAATTTTCCTTTACAAAGTTACGGGCATTTGCTGTTTCCAACCTTTTATTTACCGGGTGGGACTGTTTTTTTTGTCAGAATTACGACAACCCCCCTCAGGTCCTTTGCTTTTGTCACAACTGCCGGTAGAAAATTAGGTTGGCAACGGTCGGGTCCAGTTGGTTTCGAACCCGACAGGTCCAAATTTCTCGTACCGTACCGACACCATTGGTGAGTTTCAAGGTGTATTCCGGCTTTCTTTCCCTACTTTTCCCTTCACTTGTGAAGGCCCAATATTCCCCGTTCGATCTCAGCACTCCAAAGACCCAATTAACGGCCACTCACTGCAAACTATTTAGGCCAAAGAACCCAACTTTCTCTATCATCTCCAGAGATTCCGGCCAGAAAACCCCTCTTTCTCCTGCCCGCTAGCAACATCAAAGGTGTCATAACGAAAGTTTTTCTCTCTCCTCACAACAATCCAATTTTTTTTCTCTCTACTCTCCCCCCCCACAACAAAAAATTTAAAGGACGGTTTCAGGCAGGCTCTGTCCATAACCTCTGCAATTAGGGTTTTCATTTGCTTGGATCGATTCTCAGTGGCGAGAATTCGAAACATGGTGTGATAGTA